GAGTTTTTACAGGAAAAAAAGGAGATGGGGGGGGGGGGGAATCTATTTGACAAAGCTCACAGTAAAATTCCTATTCATATATGAACGCAGTCATTGCAAAATGATTTATATTGATATTTTATTTTCCTTCCCCTGATAATAAGATGGCCAAGTACTTTCCAGATGTCAGTATGAAATAAACATTGCATGACGTTTTTAGATTGGGAAAACCTTATCTTTGACATGTCTCTACCTTTTATTTTTAAACACGTGGTATCTTCTATGGATCTTCTGTTTGCTTGTTATGTGCTTTTACTTTGCTTTGTTTGTTGTTATTTTTTCCTTTCTTACCAGATATTTTGGAAAAAAGATAGCTTAAACTAACTTACCAAACCAGTGAATGCACATCCCACTTTTATGGCAGGCTTTAAATGTGCTTTTAAAATTTAATTATTTATTTAAAGTGTGATAGTCTTTTATGGTGCCCTGAACTTTGAATGCTACCATTTCAAAGTGGAGATGAAACTGAGGTGTACAACTGCATAACTGTTATACAGTTCTGTAGTTGCAAATGTTCAAAAATCGGAAATCCAGATTTTCTCTTTCTTACTTTTCATTTTAACTGTAACATTCTCAAGTATCTAAATTGCCCATTGTAAGAGAAGCGTAAATACCTAGCAGTAAAAGAGTGTTCTCCCTGTTATGCTTATATACCTTTTGATTTTGCCAAAAGAAACATTTGTGAAATTTCTAGCTTTCAGGTTCTTTGTAATCTTTGTAAGAGTTCAAAATTTGGTTTTAGCAGAACGCTTTCTTAAAATGCCAGCTGTGGAATTATTCTTATAGCTGTTGTTTTGCGTAGTGGTTCAGCATGTTGAGATATAGCAAACTACTTTTAGCTATAAAGCTTACTACAGAAAAAAAAATCAGGTTAGCTTATTTAACTGCTTGATTTGATGATGGATCCATCTAAAGCCACCTGTATTTTGTAAACAGTAAATCTTTTTTCCAGACCTTTATTTTTGTTTTACTGACAGCTTGCTTATTCTTAAAATTTTGTTGTCAGTCAGGACTACCTAATATTTTCAGCCCCTTGAACCATTCCTCTACTGAGGTGGGACATGAATATACAGACCTATTGTCACTAGATAAACATCTCCCCTTCATCCCCTTCAACTTCTCACTGCCCTTTTGAAATCTCAAGGTCTGATAGTGGAAGAATGAGGAATGAAAGGGTGTTCAACTTCATCAGCTGGACGGGCAGCAAACTCAAGAGCTCTAAAACATGAATTGATTTATTACAACGTGAGAAAGCTGTGAAGGTAGATATTATCTATGTGACAGATAAATGCACTGTAGTTCTCATACAGATACACACTTTAGGAGTACTTGCAGTTCTTCAGTGTTTTAAAAATACACAAAACAAACAAACAAAAAGCCTCCCAACAAGCCACCCCAAAACCAGAAACAAATAATCCTTCAAACTCCTCTAAATTTTCTTGTTTTGAAATTTAAAAGAAAAAAGTCATAGAAGTCAACAGGCTTCACCTTTTGGTATTTTTCCTCTTGTCTTCATCTTTGTCTTTTCTGTGTTTTGAAATATATTTATCCTCTTTTAAAGAGTTTCAAATATACAGCAGCAGCTGGCCTTGCTAGACAATGAATCTTGGCCAGGAATGGCTGAAGCGGACAGGGACCGTCTTCAGCTCATCAAAGAGAAGGAGGCTCTTCTTCAGGAGTTGCAGCTCATCAGTCAGCAGAGACGATCCCCAGAAGACATTGCACGTTTGGAGGAAGAAAAAAGACGCTTGGAGGATGAAATTCAACGGGCTCGAGCCACGTCTGCTCATGGGGCCACTGAAAGGTTTGGGAACTTAAATGATTTTTTTATCTACTGTAAGTTCCATATAAGTAGTTTCAAAAGGAAGAGTAGGGAATTTCACTGTGTATACGAAACAAACAAACAAAGTTATTCAAGTAATTTGCTTTCAAAAAAGGAGGAGACTGCTTCTGACTGCCACTATTTAATTCTGTCTGTCTTGACATTTTCTGAAGGAGAGTTACAGTCATGTTGACTAGTTAGTTCTCCTTTCATTCATCTAAAAAGTCTGACTAGGAAGAAGAGATCTGAATAGAGTCACAAAAAATGCTTGGAAAAAGTCTGAGTGATACTGTCTGATAATAGAGACCTGAATAACAGTACCTAGATAGTGAAAGATTTTTCTGTTATTTTGCAGTGGAGTGATTTTCATCTCCAAAAGCATCAGAACAAAGATCCTTTCCTGTATTTGGGTTCTACCTTATAACAGGAAAGTTAAATGATTGCGTTTTTACTGCCTTTTGTATACAATTTTTCCTTTTAATTTGCAGTCTCAGCAGTGGGGGGAGCACATCCCAACTCTGAGATTCAGAGAACATAGTAAACAGAGTCATTCTTGAAAACTTAAATATCAAGTTATATGTAAAAACAAACAACCCCCAAAACATATGCATGGAAACACTGTGTTTATTTCAAAGTTGCCCAGTTTTTCCTGTAGCCAAAAAAATGGACAAAACCTCTTAACCTCTTCTTGTTACCATAGGCTGCTTCCAGTGAAAGCAAGAAAGTACTTGTTCTTGTTTCCCAGACTTGCTTCTCTTTAATAGTGGTAAAGACCCAGGTTTGACACTTGAGGAAATCTGCATGAACCAGCTTTAATGTGATCTGTGTAAAGGTTAACATTTACATAATTAAGAGACTTCAAAAATACTTGGAAGTGCCTTCCGTATACAAATTTTGAGAACTTCAGTTCCTTTGAAAAGGCTTACTTCGGACAGTAAATTTAGGCAATAAATAGAAAATTCACAGCCAACCTACAGTTCAGTGTTATATATTTTGCAATTTTTGCAATATCGTTACATTGGCTTTCCAGCTTAAACTGACAGAAAAGGGAGTTCACTTTACACTGCAGTGTAGTAAGTTTTATTTGTTGTTTTTGGGCTCTCATGTTAGGTAGTGCATACTATGTTGGCAAGAAGGCCAAGCTATTTTTCCATGTAGTTCATGCTGTGGAAACCAGCGTTCCAATGTGATACTTGAGATTTCAAATGCTAGCAAAAAGTTGTGTAGAAGTTAGAATAATACTGAAGGGCACTCTATTTTTGTATAACAAATTGGAGGAAAGCTTAACTATTTGTAGCCCTAAGTTGGTTGGTTGGTTGGTTTAGACTCAGGAATAACCCAAACCATTCCTAGTTCTGCTTTTTTATTTCCACTTTCCTAATCATGAAATACAAAGAAGTTTCATCTTTAAATGGTTACCAGTTCTGTTTTGTTGCTGAGTTTTAAAGGCAGTGAGTTTTGGGCAGATCAGAACTAACTTAAAACCCCCTTTGCCTTACAGATTTTTTGTTTGCTTTTTTTTAAGGTTGGCTGGCAGTCTTAGTTGGGATTATCTTTCTTGCTGTATCACAGGTGCCTATCTCACAGCACTGTAGGTTCCTAAGGTGGTTTTTTAAAGCAGGTGGTGTGAGTACCCCTTCTTTCCCATGCAGGCTTTTGAATCTGTTAAGTTTCTTGCAACCATTTGTCTTTTTCTTTTAGTTCCTTCATGCAGTGCCTTTATCATGTTAAGTCTATATAGCTGAGCTGCAGCTTTCCTTGCACCACCTGGTTCCCCTGGTCTGGGGTCCACAGAAGCAGGAGAGGGGCTTCAGCGCAGCACGCGCTCGGGCATGCAGCTTCTGCCGTGGGTCACAGTGAAGGGAGTCTCCCCAGAGGGCAGTGGGGTTGCTGGAGCACTGCACTACAGCCCCTTGCCAACACATGAATTGATGGAGTTGGAGGCCAAGGAAGTTGAGAGATTTACGGTTTTACTGCTAACAGAGACTTTTTTTTTTTTTTCCCATGCCTTAACCATTCAAAATTTATTGAAACTAAAGCTGCCATTTTGTTTTATCCAGAAGGACTCCCTTTTGGTTGTATTTTTCTGTCCAGCCTGTTAACATGTTGAATTCTAACAGCTGTCTTCTGCAGTTAAGGAAGGTCTGAAGCACTCAAGCCTGATGTGCTTTCTCCAAAAGAGATTACCACCCTGATTTTATTTTGAAGTTTAGTGATTGGGCTTAGAAAAATAAAACACCAGGAATACTTATGATTCAGGGAAAGAATAAATGTGATTTTGAAGTTCTAATAATATCAAAATACAGAATTTAAAATATCCTATAGATGTGAGACTGACAGCATTATAGATACATTCCATTTGTATTGTGGCAGTGGTACCAGGTAGTTCAGCTGCTTGTTATTAGAATGGGCACAAAATAAGTTGCAGTGAGAGGTTTTTGTCATAGCTTAATATTCAAATCACTGGACCACCTGCTTAAATATAATGATCTATAAATGTACTTGAAACACCTAGAATTAGAGCTTAAAGTTGAGTTTTATAGTTACTGCTTAACAGAAATCCTCCAAAAATATTCTTTTGATCTTTGAAATTTGACACTAATTAGCTTGGGTAGTAGGGCTATTTGGAATATTTTTTTTTTCTTGTCAAGGCAACGAAAGTCATAGGGGTTCTCTGTATTTTACGGTACAATCAAGTTGATGCAAGGGAAGAAAAAATGTTGTAGAGTCTGATGCTTTTACCTAGGACTTTTTATGACTTTGCTAATTCCCGTAATGTATGTTCAACATCATGACTCTTATATTGCGCCTCAGTTACATTTTTCTGGGAATTCTGCTGGAGTCTTAGTCCTTGTGTTCTTGCTGGAATTTCCATTGCTGCCTGAGATGCGTAAATTAAAACTTTTTGTTAAACAGTGAAACTTCTTTTTATATTCCAAACTGCAATGTAATGATATTTTTCTGTACTTGGAAAGCTCCTAGCACTTCTTGAGCACTACTGTAATGAAGAAAAATAGTAATATGTATCTGTTTAATTATAGGATACTGTTACAGGAAAAGAGAAGTTGTTTGCTTATGCAACTAGAAGAAGCTACACGTTTAACCTCATATTTACACTCCCAGTTAAAAAGGTGAGTTATAGAAAACCAGCAGGTTTTGAACTGCAGCAGGGAAGAATATTAATGATCTATAAAGTTTACCTTTTAATACTTCTCTGTGTGTGTGCCAAGGAAATTAATTTTTTACTAAATTTATACAGTTCGGTCTATGGAATATGATGATTTGGATGGAGTTTTATAAATAGTATTAATGATGGCTATTTGGGCTAGATTATTATGTGTATTTGGGAATTCTATATGTTATTTTATTTTCTGAAAAGAAGATACATACTTAAAACCTGTTGTAATATTGTTACAGTTTTACCAATATGAGGATGACATTCTTGTAAGTTCTGTGAGGTTTAATATTCTGATACTTTCTCTAAAGGAGGGGTTTTTGATCCCTGGTGAGATGACAAAATTTTGCCATTTAAATACAAGAATGTGCTAAGACCCACACAGAAGCCCAGAATGGTTTGCGTATTCACACTTGCAGCTGCCTTTTTAGATGCAGCTCTTGGGGATTCCTCAGCTCAGCACCACACCAACATCAAAAGCTCAGTTCCTGCTGTGTCTCACTTCATCTCTCTCTGTCACTTATATTCTTCTCTCCCTAACTGTCAGGGAGTAGTAAGAGGAACTGGAATGGGATTCATCCTAAAAGTCTTTTTAATTTTGCACTGGAAAAACCCATGAGGGTGAGGCTTACACAGCAGTTTTTTAGGACTTTCCAAATCCCTTCTCACTTCTTCTCCCTGATATGTTTATGACCCATCATTAATGTAAATTCAGGCTGGATCATGGTAATCTACCCTTCCTGGCTTTAGATTGAGTCCACTGATCCAGATCCTGCTCTGACCTCTTTTCTGCCAAATTATGGCTGCTTACACATTGGAGGAGAGAGTAGGCTCATCCTGTTGGACCCTTTGTCTTCAGGCATGTGGTCCTGATTTGGTTGTCACTTGCACTGTTCCAGTCATAGTTGTGCTTGAGACCAGGACAAGAGACCTTAACTAGACCTTAAAGTGCCAAATCATCTCTCCGTGTCACTGCACTGAATACATGTAAAATTGCTTGTGTAATCTGGATTGACGTTTTTATGTCTACGCTGCTGTTTCTGATTATATTTGAAAGGGCCTTTTTTTGTTTTCTCTTTCTTTGCCTGCGATAGTCTGTCAGCTAGCACTCTCACAATGTCCTCTGGCAGCAGCAGGGGATCTCTGGCCTCCAGTCGAGGATCCTTGGCCTCCAGCAGAGGCTCTCTCAGTTCGGTCAGCTTTACGGACATCTATGGCCTTCCACAGTACGACAAATCAGACAGCGTTACAGACTACGGGCAGCATTTACGCTTTGACATAATTCCCTTTGAGTCTTTCACAAAAGATGTGCCATACGCTGATCCCATTGGACACTCGAATTTCAATAAGCAGCGGAGGTCTCTGGATACCCCGCAGTCCCTGGCATCCCTGTCATCGCGGTCCTCCTTGTCATCCTTGTCCCCTCCAAGCTCACCTCTGGACACCCCGTTTCTCTCTGCGTCTCGAGATTCTCCCTTGACTCAGATGTCAGAAGGTTTTGAGGAGATGGCAAGCATAGGAGCCCTGGAAATACTCAGGGCTCAGACCACGGCATTGGGTGACGATGATACACAAGGATCGAGTTCATCTCAGACGTCCACTTACCCTGTGGACAGCGAAGGGCTGCGAGAAGTGGGACCGCAGCTGACTGCTGTGCAAACTGGTGGAGGTGAGTTTCTGGACATTATTATTTTGTCACACTATCACAGAAAATGTTACAGAGACCTAAGCATACTAGCACAGTAGAGATTGTTCCTCAGTTTGACTTATTTTACTTCCATCAGTTACAAATTACATGGTAGATGCTAGCTGTTTAAAAAAACCCAACCAACCAAAAAAACTCTAAACCCCCAACCTTTAGATTTAGGGCAAAGAGGTGAAAGAGTAGAAAAATCCTTGTAAATAGATCTTAAAATAGTGGTGAATTGGGTGGAGGAAAGAGAATGGAACAGGAACTTTCTTTGAAGTGTAATGCATCAAGGAATAAATATTTTGGTCTTGGATTGGAATTAGTAAAAAAAGCATGGTTTAGTTACTTCTGAGGCCCCCAGTTGTGCCCACGTTACCATTATTATGATAACTTAAAGCAACACAAACCCAGGGGAGATAGAAAAAAACCCCCCACACTAAAACCAACAAACAAACAAAACTAAAACAAAAAAACAAAACAAAACTAAAACCAAACACAAAACCAGGCACAAGGTGATGCTGCTGACAGTGCTTGAAGGCTGGCTGACTCCATGCTGAATTCACCCCTTATTCCATACCATTTACGTCATGCTTGTGTTCCACACTATCCAATACATCCTCATTAACCACCACCCTCCTTCTCATCTTTTGATAAAATATGCAGATACTATTGCCTTAGTCTTTGAACCACCCTTGTAAAATGTCCATAAAATGTCCACTAAATTCATTTAGCCCATGACTTTGGACTCTATCTGTTACGGTGGTCACTCAGGATAGGAGAGGTGGTGTGATGCGTGAAGTTACTGGGCACCAAAACCAGCTCAGGTTGGGTCTACTGCTGCACTTGCACTGCTTCTTTTAAGGCTTGTCCACTTGTTCAGGTGGTTCCTGCTGCAGTAATTCCTATAACATGCAACTCAAATCATGGGTTACAACAATGTAAAGGTATTTCCATTGCTCCCTCCACCCCTGGTCCCTTTGGACCAGACCTGTTTCCTGTGTCTGTGTTCTGTGATGGAGCAGAAGCCACACTGGCATGGCGGTCATGAGTGCATGGTGCACTCTGCTCATGAGTGCTTCATCAGTCATGGAGCGCCTTTTGTAGGGGGTGTGTGAGAAGTTCAGCATCCACTTGAGTGGTTGTCTCAGAGAACCTGTGGTCTGTGGTTGCAGAGGAGTGATGTATGCAGTTACCACGGCGTGCATACTGTTGAGTTTTCTTTTCCTGCTTGATTGTGAAGTTGATAGACTTGCTTGAGCGTGCATTGGTGGAAGCTTCTGAGGCACTACAGTTGAGAAACATAAATTAGAGAGATGAAAAGAGGAAACAAACCTTTAAAAAAAAAAAACCAAAACCAAACAGATTTAAAAACCTAGGCATATAGGCACATGAGAAATTTTTTTTCCTGTTTTAATCAATTGAATGAAGAACTGCTGTTAAAATGCAAGAGTATTCCTTCATGATGACATTTCTGTGTGTTGACTTGCTTGTATTTCTAATAAAACCATACCAGTAGAGAAGGGCTTTTAGAGAATATTTTTAATATGAAATACTGTAATTTCCATCCCATTTCTACATCCAGAATTCTGTGTTAGCAATTGTGTAGAATGTTGCATTCAGGACTTAGGACATCAGGAGTACTGTGAAATATAACCAGAGAATGTATCATATTATACTACCAAATCTTACCTCTCAAGTGATAATGAGAAGGAACATTGACAGTATCTAAGGAAAAGCTTTCAGCTTTTTATTTTTAAAAATAAAATGTCACCACTGTGCTAAAAACCCTGTAGTGCTCAAACAGCATTTGAGATTAGACTGACCTACTTTCCTTAACGCAGCTAGTATTGCCAGAAGATACTGCTGCAGAATTTACATTTACTAGATGTAAACATTTCTAGTGCCCATATTGCAGCTTTCAGACCAAAATAAACAGAATTCCAGAGACCAGCATGTAAGCTTGTGCTTAAATTAGTGCCATGAAGAGGCTTCCTGAGGCTTTCTTTAAACCTCAGATCAGACCACAGCATGTCTTCACCAATTGTGGTAAGCGAAACTATGTTAGTAGTTCATTTATAGCTCATACGTGTTTCGTAGAAGTGAAGGCTTGGTCTGAGGGCTTAGGGAGCAATAGGATGAGGGTCAAGTTCCTGCTTTGATTTTTCTTTTCTCCCTTCTCTGTCACGTTTCTGTACATTTCATGTTTCTCTGAAAACCTCTGGCAGAAATGCCTGTGCTATCTGCTGTCACTGCTGCTGTGTCCAGCTCCTAGTCCAGGGATTGCAACTTTTCTCTGTGTACAACAGGCTGTTTTGCATTGCTTTTTGAGGAAGAACTTATGGTTAAAAGATAGCCAGGCTGTCTTTTTTTTATTATTTTTTATTATTTTTTTTAATGCATTTGAATTTAAGAAGAGTTGCTTAAGAAAAATTTGTTTAACCTTTCTGATTTTTCACTGGAGTCATGACTACTTTGCGTTCCACACTCACTAGCAGGTGAGTTTGCAATTGTAATGCAGTTTGCAAGTTGGAAGTTTCAAAATTATTTTGGTGTTGTACTCTGTTCTTGAAGAATTTGATGGAGAATCAAGCTCGTATATCACAGTTTGGGAACCCCCAGATGTTGAGGGGTTTTGGTTTTCACTGAGGTACTATGCAGTGTGCTTTGCTGCTGCCACCCAACGGTCTGGTAGCATAATGTGATGCTGGAAAACAGTAAGTATTAACTCGGACAAATCTTTTGCCTATTCCTTCACTAGACAAATTACGAGGTAATTTTTGCAAATTCTGGGAGCCAGGAGGGTTAACATTGAATAAACTGCATATACTTGGCACTGAAGCAGCACTTGAGCAAGTTCAAGGAGTTATTCAGGGACTGCAGTTTTGATGTTCAGTTGCTGATCCGCTGTTTTATTGTTCTGCGTCTGTTTCAGGGACATACTGTGAAATATGTCAGCATGTGTGAATGGAGGAAATATGCCTGAGAGGTTAAATCCATCATATTTCTAAAGCTGGGAGTGGGAGGAAACATGTTAATAAAATATTGGGCTTTAATATCTTTGCTATCTCTTCTTCTCTATCCTAAAATAATCTTTCAAGTGCTAAGTTTCCTTCAATGCCTAAATAATCTCTTGTTTGCAAAATACTGTCGTAGATCTAAAAGGTGATTGATCATTGTGTGCTTTTTATTTTGTCTTGTTTCTCATGCGGCACAACAGAAAATTCACTGTAAGTGAACCTGAAATTACTTATTGTGCTATTTTTGCCTGTAATTCCCAGTGTGTTTTTCTGTGTGAAGTGTTGGTTGTGGGTTGTTTTTTTTTTGTTGTTGTTGTTGCATGTGAAGAAACAGGAGATTTTGCTACATTTGCTTTTGTTTGATATTTTGTTGTATCTGTTTAATCATTATGGCATACTTAATTTTTTGCTATGTCAACTAAACAATATATTTGTGGCTGTAGTTGAATTCCTGGAAAAAGTATTCTGCGAGCTTCAGCTTTATTATATGATAGTAATGCCTGACAGCATCACGGTATGTAAGATGTATTTGTGTCTCTGATTTAGTTTTTATGAGAGTGTTTGACACTTTCATTAGTGTATTTGAGCTGACATGCAGTATTCATAGTCTCCTAAACTTGTGAAACATGCTTTAGCTTTATTTATGTATTTTTTTAGCTACTGAAATCTTCCACACCAAAATTTCCTTTGAAGTTCACTTTTTCAACTAATGACACCTGAGGATATTCTTTTAATCAGGCCTGTCTTATGTTTATCGAGATTTGGCACTCAGTATTTCCAGAAATTCATATATATTGTTCACTGATTTTGTTATTTAAATAAGAAAATGAAAGGTATGTCTATCTTAGAAACTTAACTTTTAAACAATTCTTTAGCTTCTAGCATTGGAGGGTCTGCAATCTGTGCTAAACCATATTCTCTTTAAAACAAAACCTGATGTTTCTTTCTTATTGACCGAT